AGATGATATACTCACTATCATCAAACGGAACCGAACGTCATTACAATTATTATGTGGGAAAGTACATTAATATTCGATGCGGGTGGGATCTATGATTTTTTTCCTGCACGATCCCACCCATTCCGTTACAATTACGAACATGTGCGCGTGAGACTGCCACGAGAGACACCCGCCAGCTACATTAGAAATCTGAAGCCCCGTAACGATTTGACTTCACACAGTGTTTCATCCTAATAATATTATAAATGAGGATGTATAAAAGTTGTGTGTGAACATGCGTTAGGAGGACCCAAGCATTACATAAGATTTGATAAGCCACCAAAATACTTGCGGCTGAATAAAGATTCATCTCTAGAATGATACGCGAAGCTATTGAAATGGAAAGAACATCCGAATTTTAATAGAGATGAAGGTTGGCATATACCACCGGCTTGGGATCCAGTAATTAGTCAAATATAAACTCAATCCAGATCACACATTGCTAAATCAAAAGATACAGTTAGTTATTTCTGTAAATATTAAATCAAACGGAGCAATTCACTTTTCTTGTCGGAGTTTAGATTACGGTAACCAGGGGTAAATAAATAAGTCAAATGTATTTTTATAATAATTCAGTTTGATAAATGTAAACGTTATCATGAAATATATATATTTATTGTATTGTGAATGTGTCCAATAATATTGGTTTTTGAAGGTAGCTATGCTTTTCATTAAAAAACAATCAACAGGTTAGTCTTATGTGAACACGGAACTTGTAAAGGGTTCGAAACGTCAATAAAACTAAATACAAACGCGACGAAACCGTTTAGAAGTTTTTAATTACAAAAATTTGCTAAAATACATGTGGCATTTTATTCTTGAATCAAATCTAATAATCTTGTTTCAAAACCAAGTTATGATTATTTTCTTGAACCTCGGAAAATGTTACAAATCTGCCGACTTCAAAAACGTGGAAGAAATTTCAAGTTCATCGCCGTGAAGTAAACAGTAAATAACTTTAGATGAACACACAATTAATTTATATTAATGGCCATATGCACAGCTCACGCAAATTATGATCTATTAGAATAGTATACTTTCAGCTGGGAATTGGACTGGAAAAATGTATGTCTGTCTCAAGAACGTGATTTGGTTTCACTTTTAAGCTTCGCTCACAAAGTCTGCATCATTATCCAAATACTAGTTGTTTATAGACTACATCACCCGTATATTGTGTAGCGTAGCGTAGGTGAAAGAAATTTTAAAATCAGTCCCGTAGTTCCAGAGCCTATTCCATGCAAACAAACAAACAATCAAATCATTCCTGTTTATAATATGAATAGACATATTATTTTAAGCAATAAACACTATTATTTGTTTTTTGCTTTTACTTATTGTTAATACATTGGCATTAAAATGTTTAAAATACCACGATTGCTTTAATTAAATATCGATGATGTCATCTATAATTTATTTTTAAAACTATAACAAACTCGAAAATCAAAACTATTTTAAAATAAATAATGCCTGCTACCAATGACAATGTAACTCATACCTATATTTATAGTACTATAGATTATAGTCGTAAATATTGGGTTGGCACAAAAGTAACGGGACACACTAGAAAAATCTATAACATTTCCTATTTAAAATCAATTTTTTCGATAATATTCTAGAATGTTGTAGAACATTCTAGGTACTTCTGGTGTAGGGTATATAAAGCCGCGCTCGCGATTTGTTCAGTCAGTTTGAAGAAAAATGGAAGAGCGACAAGTTCGAACACTATACTTATACGAGTACTTGTTAGTCCACAGTGCGCGGGCTGCGGCTGACAATATCAACAATGCATTAGGCGCTGGAAGTACAAGCCATGCGACGGTGTCCCGATGGTTTGACCGTTTTAAATTAGGAGACAGGAGCCTTGAAAGTCAGCCACGCTCAGGGCGACCACCCGCAGTGAATGATGACGATTTGCGCCGCGAACTGCAGTAGAATCTGGATGCTACCACTCGTAAATTAGCGGAAGCACTTAAATGCAGTCACCACGCCGTAGAACACCATCTGCATGAGCTTGGTTATCGAAAAGTTTTGGCTCGGTGGGTACCGCACATCCTTACAGACGCCAGTCGTGCAGTCCGTGTCGCTATCTGTCAGTCACTTTTGCTGCGACCCCGACGTAAAGAGTTTTTGTCAGATCTGGTTACTGGAGATGAATCATGGATTTATTACGAGAACGATACACGTCGCCTCGAGAAAAAACGCCACCAACTCAACCGAAGCCGAGTCAAAAGAACCGCCGAAAAATTCTGCTTTGCTGTTTCTGTGATGCGCAAGGCATACTGTTTTATGAGCTATTACACAATGAAACTATAAACGCTGACAAATATTCAACCCAGCTTACCAAATTATCTGCCGCTATCAAGAAAAAACGACGAAGACGAGTCAATGTAGTTTTACTGCACGATATTGCTCGACCTCACGTCGCATCTGTGGTTCGCCGGCAGTTGGAGAACTTGAGCTGGGAGACGATAGCCCACCCACCTTATTCCCCAGACCTCGCCCCATCAGACTATCATTTGTTTAGAGCCCTGAAACAGCATTTGCGGGGTAAACAATTTAATGATTTCTCTGACGTAGAGGCGGAGTTGAACAACTTTTTCGAGACACAGCCATCAGAGTTCTGGGCAAAAGGCATCCAAACTTTGCCGGATCGTTGGCAAGAAGTCTTAGATACTAATGGTAATTACATTATTGACTAAACTTTTTTTATTGTAATAATAATAAAAAAGTAAAAACTTAAACCAAGTGTCTCATTACTTTTGTGCCAACCCGATACTATGCTTTTAGGTCATAATCAATATAGAAATTCCACCTTCAATAATATATAAACACTTTTCTTGTATACAATTAGATCGTGTTCGCATAATGAACGGAATACCTATTATAAAACTAAACCAATAAAGCATAGAATAAACAGACAGACTAATAGGTATATCATGATATACTTGTAAGTGCTTTCTCATTTAACCACAGTGTTTCGAACGTGATGAATATATCTTTATTTATTGCTAATTGCTATTCTGTCGCACTTATCACGCGAATGATCCACCTTTTTTACCACGCGTCAGCCATATTTAGAATAGGAGAGAATGATTGACAAGAAAATTTATTTTAAGTAACTTTCACGTTCAAATAATGTATTCATAATTCATGCGTGTACATATAATGAATATATTATTTTAAATACACTTGAGAAATCCAGTCAAAAATATTAATAAAACTTAATCGAATCCTGTCAGGTTCCGTGGTCACTAGGGATTACTATTAGTCTTGTGACCACGAAGTTGACAAAAGTACCCGAAACATATAAAAAGTAAGTATATTAAAAATAGTTACTTTTTATATTTCAATAAATAAGATTTGTTTAAGATCCTAAGACACAAAAAAAATACAATCAGACGCCTCATGAAAATAAAATTAACATAGAGCTAATTAAAGTAACAGAGATCAGAGTTAAGACGCGAAAATAAAAAAATGCTTAGAAACTATTAGGTATAATTGATGATCAAAGCATATTTTAAATAACATTACTTGTACTAATTTATAAACGCAATATTTCATTAGTTTCTCAATCTACTGTTTGTGTCATTTATTATTTTTTATATTGTGTCATTTGTAGTGAGAAATAAATTATTATCATATTATTATTATTTGCGTTTTGATATATCACATAACGAGTTCAGGTTCAGACATTTTTATAACAACAATTAACATTAATTTCCACTAAAATGTTTCGACTACGACAAAAATAAAGAATGGTATCAGTATTTCAAAATCAGGGTCATAGTGTCATTTCACACATCGTCTTAAGGATACGCCACACTGGATGCTAAGCGAGTGTCACACAGTAAACAGTTTCTAATTTGAGTTGTCTCATTGCAAAACAGGTAAAAGAGCCCACTTATAGTTGAGCGATATGATCAAAGTAAACTAGTGAAATATACACATTATTCAATAAACCCGTTTAAAACTAGGTTAAAACTAGTTAAGGCGTGTCTAATTTATAGATTCGATTACATTTTAAAACCCTTCGGATCCTCTGCACTTAATTTAGTGACCACGGAGCTTGAGGAGGACCCAAAACGTCTTAAAATGTAATAAAAATAATACAATATAAACATATTATAAAAGCTTCGCGATCAAAGCTTGTTTTAATGAATAATTAAATAATTTTATTAGCCATTCAGATTTTTGTAAGTTTTAAAAACGAATAAAAATAATAATGATAATGTTGTGCTTAGACAGGATTCACAATTAATCTAATCTTCCCGGTTAAGTCAACTATTATTGTATGACAATATTAAATTATTTTTTATTTATTTAATTTTATTCTATGACAATAACACAATAATAACAATGAAGGTATTAATTGAATATTGCATGTTAAAGCAATATTGTAACGGATATAGTTTCGTTTCATTTCTCTTCCAGTGTAGTGTGAGCTTTATATAGGAAATGCCGTCTGCCGTACAGTCAACAGATACTTCATTAGATGAGCTGCGATAATGACGCTTATATTGTAGATATTATGTTTCACATCATGTCTTTGAAGTTGAAAAAACATTAAGATAGCGAGTTGTTTGTTGACGGTAGAGGATAGCTTATGACCGCGTTATTAGACTAAATGCCGAGTCGCGTTACGAAACTGATTCTTTTTAAATAACAACATTTCTTTAGGTTATCATTGATGATAAGTAATCTATGTAGTGTTATAAAATTTGAGTTTTATTTCAGTATTGTAGTATATATTAACACGCTGGCCCAGCTTTTTATTCCATGATAAATTTGAGGAAATTGACGATATTTTGTCTTTAAGCATTTATCGCTTGCAATCTTTAAGTTCATACACCTTATTAAACGAGTTAAAAATGTTGATATACAAATTGCTTGCATTGTTAACTTCCTCGATCTATATTTATATTAGCGTAACCTGTTTAAAGTAACCTGTTAGTGCTACATACCTGCGCTTGTTTCAGTCTGTGTTCGGTCCTGTGTACGGCGAGCAGCGGCGTAACGCGCACCAGAAGTCGCCACCAAGGCCAGTCGCGAACGGCGAGGAACGCGCGAACGTTCCGCTGCACGCAACGAGCGGCTGTATGCTGTGTTCGCAAACGCTGCGCTCGCCGACGAGCGAGAAGACCGCGAGCGCGCGCTTGCAGCCGAACGAGCACGCGAGCGAGCGCCGCATCACGTCGAGCGTCCAACCCGCCCACGACGCCGCCGCGGAACATAATCTGAAGCAATGAGACAGACAAATTATAGTTAAATTAGATGCGTTTAGTCAATAATAATTCACCGACAATTGAACATTAAGTGGGTTGATGTACCAAATAACAGAGAGGCCAAAATAAGAAAAAGGTTAGCGTTTTACGTGGTGTACTATATTTCCTTATAATTAGTTAATTCTGTAATATTTTACAACAAGCATAGTTCATAAACTCCATTGGAAATGTAGGAAAAAGAACACGAAAAGTTAAAAGAGCGTGACGTTAAAACCTAGAATACAAAACTAAAACCACTTAAGAAAAATCTTGATGTATCAACTATTACTTTTCGTTTAATTAGGTACTACTTACTACTTTTATTACTAACTATATATGGATATATTTTTTATCTATAATACTATAAAGAGGCGATATCTATTTATTCTTTAATATATAAGCTTTATTACTAATGAGCAAAATATACTAGGTTTTATTTGCATAATAAAGACTGCGCGAAGTTCGCGGGTATATTTAGTTAAAATATAATAAGATGTCAAAGATAGAACATTTATTGATGAATCGCGAACGATTTCAATGAGTGGTATTGACACAGACGTTATTATGTTGCTGACCGTAATCCAGCGTAATAGCATCAGTGACACTGTTATTCGGCCAATAGCTGCATAATGGTATCATTGTTGGACCTTATACAGAGCTGACCCACTTATCAGAAGAAAACATCCATTGAACCAGTTGCGTTGGCCACTAGATGTTGAGATTTATGGGAATGAAATTGGGACAATAGTAGGGCGTTATAGACCGTCATGTATTCATGAGTTTTTGATATGAAATATTGTGATTTTTAATACGTAGTTCATAGTTACGATTGCTTAAAAGTATATGAGTGTATCAATGAAAGTAACAGCAGACTGGGACTTAGAATATGGCTATTTGTAACTTTTACCGAAATAACCAATCTATAAAATTAGCAGAATCGACCGGTGACATAAATAATAATCTGAAATTTCAAAGTGTACGTTTCTGAAAGCTATGAAATATGACTGGTGGCTTTATAATTGAAATGGCGGACCAGTATAGTGGACGGGTTCCATTCTAAAATATTATCATTTCAATTCATATTTTAGGGTAGGTTTGACCGACTCCTCCTCTTCTCTTTAATTGCAATTTGTATGCATGTTTTCTTTTATTACTTCAAAGTAAACCATATACACTTACAAATTAATAACTTCTGACCACGGAACTAGCAAAGGATTCAAAACATCTAAAGATGCAATAACATCCTACAAATGAAACCCGTTGAAAAGTCTATGAAAAATTTGTCATTTTAACGAATCTAATTAAGTATAAAAGTATTACAAGTACCTAGGTCAACTTCCTTTCATCGGTAATCACAACTATTATCTAGATCTCCATTCAAGTGTGAAGTCCCCAAAAAGCGTTTGAGCGCATTACACAAACTTTTTGAGGAATTCCTTTTTTTATAAAAACGTACCTACTGTTCTACAAACTGTAGTCTTGTCGGTTTAGAATCCTCGGCTCTTTATATTTTTGCATTTGTCTACGTATAGTAACTGAATTAAAAAAGAATATTCTATTTTTAAGCTGTCACGATGAGTTCCGTGCCGAATTCGGAATTAACACAGGGAAATAGTACACGCCTACGAGATAAGTTAGAGATATTTAAATAGTTATGCTATATAATAGTTATATTATTATTATGCTCAAGTCAACGTCAACAATTCAAGTGAAATGTCATGCATCGAGAGAGTTTTCCAATTGAAATAAAAGTTCCGACTCCACTAAAATATGTTAAAAAAATTTCACTGTCTAATTGGTAGTGTTCTTGATGGTATTACACAACATCAATACATTAGATTCCATATTAAGCAGGTACACCACTTCTATTATGGAAATTTGAAACAGAACACCCAGATCGAAGACAATATAGAATAATATATTTTCTTCATTTACCCAACTGGGAATCGTATGCTGGACCTTGATACTGGCGTGAAATCATTATAATACGTAACTTTTTTAAAAATAAGTAGGTATGACAATAAATTGTATTGAATTTAAGTAGATCGAATTAATTTGTAGCAAATTATAAATATCAAAACATGAATTGTACTTACTTTTTATACTTACAAACATTTCTCAGCTAATGTCGGAGAAACTGATAAGGTACATAATCCGATTGGCATGCAAAAGTTTATTTATTGCCTATTTGTTTATATATTGGCGGAAAGTTCGTTTATCTATTGTGTTATAAAAGACCAATTTTCCCAAATTAGAGACTCCCGATGTCGGATAGCTTGTTTGTCTGACGTATCAACTGCTCCCTCGATATACAACAGTTAGTCATAACTATAGAAGTGTTTATAAAGTCATATACTGCATATATAATATATATAACAATATATGCAGTTATATTATAAATAGGTGTAGATAGGTCTTGGTCCCCCATCCACTGACCGGTCTCCGGAAGTTGCGTAACCAACGCAATCGCAGACTGAAAGCAGAGCTTTTTACTTAAGTAGAAATTTATTCCTTCGTCTGACCCCAAACATTTGATTGACTACACAATAAGCATGTACATATGTACTTGCAATTTCTCTTATTTTACATGAGCAACTTCGATTATTCTATAATTATTATTATCGAGTAAAGATATTTATAAGTATATCTTTTTAATAATATAAATATAATCAGAGAATGACTAATCAAATTAAGTCAGAATAAATTGTAACATTGTAAGGAAAATAATGGGAAAACATAGTGTTGGAAGAAGACAAAGTTCCTATAGGGTAAGTCTGCTAATGTTAGCGTAATTTTGGAAAATCAATAGCGCTTTAGCTTTTTATGACAACACAGTTCTTGTTACTTGGTCAAAAAATAATAAATATATCTGTCAACATTAATTTGTGAGGAAGCCGATGCACCGATAATATTGGACTTCATCACTTCAGGTAGATAGTACAAGGGCAAAATCCAAATTATTGTGATCCTGCTGAGAAGCGGTTTTTACGTAAAAAAAAAAAAAAAACTAGCAGAATGAAGGCCCTGGCTTAAAAACTTAATGGATTGGACGCGGTAACTAGCATGACGCTGCCCAACCCCCGATAGAAGTGGTATATTAAGAAGAAGATATTGTAATAAAAAATGAGAAAATACATCATATTCCTTGCATTCTTTGTTAGCTCCGTGGAAGCGGAAACGGATCCGAAACGTGCAATAAAATTAAAATATTCCAGAATAATTAGATTTGAAAATTATAAAAGCAATTGTATAGTTATAAGAGTTGACATTTACTATTTCAGGACAATCATAATAATCATGATTTTTGCATTATTATATATTTCAATAGGATTATTTTTGTGTTTCTCATTCAACGCAATAAGTCTTTATATGCCTCTATTAATTTCATTGCCAGATTTCGCGCTTGTTTCGTATTGTTTTTCTGTCTATTCAAGACTTCCTTCATATAAATAACACGAGTTTTATTCTAAAATATTGTTTCTGATCTAAGTAGTTTGGATATGGTGTTACCATATTTATTATAAAATGGCCATTTTCCCACGACTTCGCCCGCGTAAAATATAGCATTATGTCACCCGTGTATGATGTAGTTTCTATCTAATCTTTAAAATCGATAACGTAGTTCTAGAGCCTATTCATTGCAAGCTATTTATTAGTTTTTATTTATTTGTTATTGCCAAATCAAAGCATATGGTGGACTTAATTTTGCAATCACATTGTAACACTAAAAAATATCTTTAATGAAAAATGCTTAAAAGCTCCATCTAGGGACAACTGGCTAGTGATTTTTTTTAAACATTTCTCATAAAGACAAATCTTTTCTCTTTATAATATTAATAAAGATAATAACAAGTGAAGAATGTACTTCTTCTATATTTCATTTGGTCACGAATAAAATATACATTTAAGATTCAAGTTTTGTTACTTTTCTTTTACATACGTATAAATTTATTCAAATAAATTCGTAAGTGAAGACAAGATTTGTACTTTTAAATAAACCACTTTTCAAGTAAGTCCGTAATTATAAAACATATAGAGATTATAATCTAAATATACAGCTTAATTATAGTATCGTTTAATTATGCAAAATGTCTTATTAACATAATATGACAGGTAAACATAATTTTACATTATTTACATACTTGTAAGAGTGCATTGACTCGAAGCGATAATCCCAACAGAATATATTAAAAAAATGGCTTAAGTGTGAGACGGATTCGTACAAAAACGGTTCCTTACATACCTATACGAATTTATGTATACAGCCACAAGGGCGAATCTAAAATTAAAGACACGATGGAGACTCTAAAAGAATTGTGACGTCACATTTTCATGGTTCACCGATGTTGAATGCCTACGTAAAACTACACAATACACTTTAAAAAATTATTAACTTCGGTAAACATCTCCTTTGCAGGTTTGCAGTATTTTGAGCAGAGTTCTTACCCCGCCTCGCATTTGGCATGATTTTAAGTGTGTGTGACCATAACCTTTTCTGAGGTATGTTGGTCCAAAGTATTGTATGAACGAGATACAAATCGCTACTATACACCTCTGTATCCTCCTTTTTATATCTTAACAAGCATTTGTTCTAACAAATTTAAAGAATTTTTTATCTATTACGTTTCTCTATTGGGCGGTAACTGGTAATTTTAAGAATTTATCCGCTTTCGATTTTACCCTAAAGCATCGCAGTGTTATTCTTCTGTTTTTAAAAACTGCATCGAACTCGACCTTGAGCGCTGTCATTCAAATAAAACCTACTTCAAAATGTTTTATTTTATCGATGCTCTATACTGTCACAGAGCTGCGCTTATAAATAAATAAAGTTCAAATTGACTTATGAGTCATTGACAAACGGGACGCTAAAACGCAACTCTTGACAGATCGCGATGTCATACGACATTCAAACTCTCTTTCTTCAAAGACAATAGAATAATTCGATATCCGAACAGAATGCAAAAACATCTGCC